TCCTGCTTGCAGGAATAGCTGCCTAGAAAGTACCAGGCTCCTTCCACTCCTACATCACCATCTGCTAGAGCCCAGCCTTCTTGAGAGCAGAATCCGGAAGCAGAGAGAGGGAAAAATGCACACAAAAAAACCCCAAACAAAACAAAACAAAAAACCCAACATACTTTCAGAATTAATTGCCCAATTATTTCCTCTACAAAGACAGCAGAAACATGTTTTTCTTCAGGCGCCCCAGCTAGCAGCAGCTGTGCTGCAGCCATCCAGGTGGAGACAAGGGAATGCTCTTTTTCCTGAGCGAGCCTTACCTGCCAGGGCAGCCTCTTCTTTTTCACACTCTGGGGTGAAGATGCCTCTTCTAACTGCACATCACCAGGACATGCCGCTTCAGCAGCACAGTCAGCCACTCTCAGCGCTGAGAGCGTTGAAAAAGAAAACAGAACAGGAGGTGGGGAAAAAAGCCGAAGGATGATGTAAAGTGATGGAGAGGCAAACACAGGCAGCGGAAAAACAAAAGCGATAGCTGAGACAGAAGCCAACAGGAGCCCAGACAGAAAAATTGACTAATTTAGGACTAGCATTGTGCTAAAGAATCATCATCAGGCCCGACTGCTGACAGAAAAAAAACCCACAAAACAGCATCTCAAGGCACTTCTCACTCCTGGCTCTTCCAAGGTCAGTTCCTAACCTCTGTTTTCCAAGCATGAAGCCAGCATTCCTCCAAGGCTCACAACGCACCGTGTCCTGCGGTACTGCCCACGGAAGAGCCCAGGAGGTCAGCCTGCTTCCTGGCAAGCAGAGAGGCCCTCCGGACTCCCGGCAGCACGTGCCAGTCCCGAGAGACGCCACAGGTCAGAGCAACAGAAAGTTTACTCGTGGATCGCCCTCAGCACACACCAGCACGGGTACAGCGAGAGAGCAGAGAGAGAACTGGGCACAGGTTTGATTTTGCTCCACATTGAATAGAAGCTCTTTAAAGTTTAAAAAAAAAACGTTACATAACTGTCCCCGCAAGCTACACGAGCACCTCTGAGCGTGGGCTCTGCCTTTACCTCCAGTTTTCCTGTTTCACGCTTCACTGTGGTATTTGCACACGCCAAGCAGTGCTCCGAGGTGAAAATGCACTTTTGGAATTCTTACTCCGGTGCTCTGACGATTCAGGTGCTCTCAGTAATTCTCAGCATGGGGGACTCAAGGTAGAAATATGAATATACAAATAAAACTACTGCACCAATAAAACTGGTGAAGGACATCTCTGCACACATACGCAGCAGAGACAAGACCTCGCTATATGTATTTCTCAAGAATAAACACAGTTTTCACACTTTTTTTTTTATATGAAGTGTGACAAATCCTGCTTTTTTCCAGAAATAAAACTTTATTTTTATTGTCATTAATACCAACTTTACATACAGGTTTATTTCCCCAGACTGCATTTCCTTTTTATCTTTTTTTTTTTTTTTTAAAAAAAAAGGCATTTTTTTTCCTTCCTTGGTCAAGAAGAATAAGGGAACTATAATTTTAAATGATGTCGAACTCCTTCTCATTGGACGTGTGTTTTTGGCTATTACAAAACTATTAAAATGTGAAGGAACGAGTAATATCAAAGACACATACAGCACTACTGCTTTTGGGTTGTGCTAATATACTCGAACGGAACTTGGCAGTTCTAAACGTCTAACAACATCTCAAATTATATTAACGAAGTAAAAGACTTTAACGTTAATATAACCCACAATAAAAAACAAACAAACAAAAAAAAAAAACAAACAACCACAAATGCAGCATCTCTGTCTTTAATCGAATCTCTTGGAAGCTCAGTCTCCGGTAGGATGGGACACCTGACCTCAGTTTGCTTCAGGCATAATGAGCTCGTAGTGTCCAACCTGACCTTCCTGCTTCAGCTGGTCTAACAGATCCTCCTTGCGCCGCTTCCTGCTTACCACCAAGTACCTGTTGTGGCCCTGCCCATGAGATTTACTTTTAAGACCGTATTTTTGGGCGATCTGATGTATCTGCTTCCGCTCATCCATGGTCAGTTCTCTGGAGAAAGTCAAGTCGATGTGGCTTTCTGAGCGTGCATAGTTTCGAATGATCTCTTCGATATCTCTTTTGGCGATTTTGTTTACCCTCTCGACGTCGAGCCCGAGTCCTTCCCTTTTAAACTGTTCCTTCACTGAAATCGGCTCTCGAATCCCTTCACCATCCTTCCCCAGGCCACCGCCTGTCCAGCCCATCTTTCTCAAAATCTGATTCCCAATGTTGTCTTCCTTGATCTTCTGTTTGAAAGCCTCTTCTGCTGACCGGCCCCGAATCTCATTTCTGGAGATGACGTCTTCAACGGTGCCTTTCTTCAGGTTATTAACAACAGTTGGCTGAGTCTTTTTGAGGATTTTCACGGCTTCCTCTGCTGCTTCATGCTTGACAGATTTCTTCACTCCAACTGCCTCTGCGATGAATTCATCTTCAAGCAGCACCTTGCATTTCCATCGCATGCCAGTCATCCTCTCAAAGACATACTCCACCGTCATCTTGTTGAACTGGGCAGTGTCATTCAGCGTGCACACTGGATTACTGGAGTTCTCATAAACCACGAGATCCTTCAGGTCCTTCTTCCTTCCAGAGCCCCGCGACGAGCAGCCCACCTTCTGAACCTGGGTCACTTTGATGGCTGCTATATTTGACTGCATCTTCTGCAGGATTTTCAGTGCCTCCTCAGCTGCTGCGTGCTTGCTGGTCTTTTTAGTGCCGAATCCCTCCGCCAGGCAGTGATCTTGCAGGTACACCTGACAGCGCCACGAGCGGTTGGGCATTAATTCGTATTTGTATTCAACAGACATTTTGTTATAGGAGGCAGAATTGTTAAGTATCCCTATTGCATCGCTGGCGTTCTCTGTGAGGACAAAACTAGTCCAGTGTTTGTTGGTATTAGCCGTACCTTTCACGGACTCAGTACCGGGCTGCATCGGGACACAGTCCCTGTTGGCAACTACAAACTCCTCATGAGGTTTGAGAGCTGGAGGGAAATCTGGGCGACTCACGCCTGCCTCGCACACCACCAAGTCTTCGTGATAGGTGTGCCTGAACTTCCGCTGAACAACTCTAACTTCCACAGACTTCTTCAGCAGCTTGACTGCCAGCTCCGCGGCTCGATCCCTGGATCCGTTTTTGCTGCCGGCGTAACCGGTGGCCAGGTAGACGTTCTGACATCGCACTTCACAAGCGAAGCCATCTGTTAGGAGCTTCTTGCTCTTGGGAAGGTCAGCAGGGGCGATTTCTTTCAGAGGAACATAAATATATTCAGGATTTGTCTTGCAAGCCTGAATTGAACGTGTCAAAAGATACGTATAGTTAATTTTATCAGTCCCAGTGTTTGCATCTGGGTTAGCAAGATTTTTCCAGACAGCTGCTGACAGTTTCTCAATAAAACTCTGCTTCAGCATTATAGCTGATGGAGGGAAAGTCTCTGATGCAGACTGGACTGCTGAAGGAGAAAGAGAAACCTGCAACGCACCACTTGTGGTAGAGTCCATACTGTTCGCAGCCGCCTTGGCCGCTGCTGCCTGGCCTGCAAAGCCAAACCCGGCTGAGCTGGAGAGCTGGGGATCCATCTCCCATGCACTTGCAAAAGAATTTGTACAGTTTTCAGCTGGCTGCGCCATGCTGTTGGCATTTCCCTCCTGGTTCACCTCCTGCATTTGGTTATCTAGAGAATCTTCCTTCTTGTCTTCCTTCTCAGCGCTGGTGACAAAGTGTATGGGCTCAAAACGTGGTCGCACCCGGAACCTGGGGACCGTCTTTTTGGGTGGCTCAGGAATCTCTTCCGGCTCTGGACCTATGGGGGAGGAAATGACAAGATTACCAACACGTGCTATGACAGGGAGACAATGTTTTCACAGTGATCTCCAGTGATCTCCGGGAGGAGCCTGCAGGCCCTGAGTTTCCCACTTCTTAGCCACAAACTGAAAGGTTTCTTTCCAAAGACATTCACAATGGTCAAAGACGACCGTTTATTCTTTCGCAGGTCACTACAGCTCCACAACTATCACACAAAATCTCTATGTACTTGGCTACATGGATTTTAGGTCTGAATCACTTGCTCTGCCCCCGAACATCGCCCACTGAACCCATCTGGTCATTTCTGAAGTCAATCCATTACACATTACTGGCAGACTCTTGTTCCTTAACCAGAAGAAATGCAAATGAGGCAGAATATCCTGATAAGCACAGCTACTGCAGAAAAGCAGAATCAAATGGCTGATGAGCAAATATGTTACATTTGAAAGATGGTTATACAAGGCTTCTCCCGTGGCAGATTTAGCCCCCACGCACTGAAGTGGTACATGCGTGCGATTTCATCAGAGGAGCAAAAGGCCACCTCAGCGCCTTGGAATGAGATGCCTAATCCAGTGCAATGTGTGCAACCATAATATAGGTCAGGCAACACATCTGTCTAGGCATCCCACTGCCATGGCGAACTTATCACAGCTTAGCTCACTGCAGATGAGAAAAACACTTCACATACGGCACGAGCAGGCCTCCATATCCAAACCAGGTGACAAAGCTCTTACACGTGTGAAATCCGTTGGTCGTCAGTTTTGAGGAATTATGGCGAGGTTTACGGTTTACATTTCTTGCTCAGTTTGCTATTTTGCTGATGGCACTGCAGCAGCATCTAGAGGCTCTCACCAGCAGTGCTATCTGTGTAACATGCAATGGAGAACCCTTCCCCTCAAAGCTGCTGCCTGGGAGACAGACAAAACATGGGGAAAAGTAGTATTCTTCTCAGTTTTGCAGCCAGCCCATGGAAGCACAGACAGATTGCGGGGTGTCAAAGTAAGGGAAGAAACCGGTGGAGCTGGGGATGACATCCTAGCCTAGAGGAGTCCTGTGCTGTCTGACCATTTGTGCATTCAACAGCCAAACTACGACTGATGCCTCCTCACAAAGCAAGGACCCGCCTGCTTGCCTCCACAACCAGCACCTGCCTGCACGAACAGTTTCCCACCCCTCTGTCCCTCTGCAGAGAGGGCAGGGAGCTCTGAAGGTGCTGGAGAGGAGCAGATGGAGTCACAGGACTGCCAGCCCTCTCTGCCTGCTGCATTTCCTCTACTGGAAAAGCTACAGCTGGAAGACGGATCCTTGAGACCACAGGACTGAGCTGACAGATGCAGGACTCTTCCAGACCCAGTAGGGAGAAAAAAAAAAAAAAAATTAACCCACCCCCCAGTGCTCCAGGCAGGCTGTAATTGAAAATCAGTAAGCTGAACTCCCCATCTCCATGCACATGTACAAGCCCTTCTCAGGAACATCACCCCTCGCCACAGTGAAGAACGGCAGACAGGTATTTCATTACCTGGATTCAATTCCCTAACACTATCACTAGGGAAAATCAATTATCTGGGAATTTCAATGAAAAATGGTCTTTTCTTCAGCAAAAAGAGAACTCTGCATGGATTCTGTATACTCCACAACACGGCCAAGGAGGGGAAAGGGCTGCAGTCCAGCAGAGCACATCACAGTCGCTGCCCTTCATTTGCTGCACTGGCTCTCAAGGCAGCCCCACGGCGTGTGGCACTGCCCACGCTCCCACTAACACCCACCGAACAGTGGCAGGGAAGGAAGGGTGCCTCCTTTGGCATAGGCAGATATACTCACTGTCAGATGGAGAGCGGTATCTTTTCAGCTTCCTGCTAGGGACCAGCTCGTACGTCCTCGTTTCCCCGATATCGATACCTTCAGCCATCTTGAGAACCTTCTCCATGACCTCCAAGCCGTACCTGTGTGGATTCAACAGCAAACCACTTTAGAACTGGTCCCACAGGGGCAACACACACACATGCACACACAAGCTTTTACTATGCAAAATAAGAACTAAAGCTGCCTGAGAGATTGTACCTGGTTGGAGGGAGATGCTGCCCCTGGTTTTACAAATGGAGTGTTATCACAGGACCTGACCACCGGCCTCATGCCGTGGCTAGTTCGGCGCTGGCAGACAACCTGCACACCAGCCAACAAGCTCCTGGCTCCAAGCGGACCCAGTTGTGAGTAACAAACCGTGCAGTCACCAAACTGACAATGTTTTAAATTTAAATACGTTAT